TCATTAAGACAAAGAAGGTTTGGCTCTTCCATCTCACTTCCAAATTATTGTCATCTTTTCTTACTGTCATTTCAGAAATGGAGCACAACCAACAGTGGGAAGAAATATGGAATTTGTATTGCCTTTAGTAACATAGTTGTTAATCAGACCTACCAGACCGAATATTGTTAATACGAGGTGATAACTGTTGTTCGGCAGCCTCAAAAAAAACTGCTAACATTGTTTAACCGAACGATTGTAGCACCGCCTTCAAGTAAATTTTGTTGTCAGTTTGGATACATAACATTTTAACAGTCCTTTTTTTTTTCTTCTTCTTCTTCTCCTTCTTTTTCCGTTTCGTTGTACATCATCTGAACACTCCAAGCCATACAGCTCAGATCTTAGGCAAATGTACAACAATAACCACAACAATGGCAGCAGCAACAACAAAAATAACTGTAATTATTGTTTATTTCGGTGTTAACACCTTCCTCCTATTTCACACCGGAAAATGACACTTTAAATGGACAAAAAAGGAACATATTACACGCTGGTTGATCCTTCTCTATCTGTAATATCGGTTTCTAAATTGGCCATAATGTGTATGAAACTGTTGCGAAGTATTGTGTACTCATCTGAATTCAGCTTCAACTTTCAAGAATTAATTTCTCATCTGTTATTCGCCGCTTCTAAAAAAAATCCTCCAAAAAATTCATTTACCCAAACCGCTCATCCACACATTTGCAGGTCCATTTATTATTGAACATCTTTAGAAATAAAATCAAGCTCTGAAAATTCAACCAATTTTTACTGCTTGTAATTAGGTTTAACAAAAACGACATCTAAAATTATAAGCATAAGACCAACTATACAATTTGTTTTTACTGTACATATAAACTTATCATTTAAGCGATTATAAACCTAATTGAACTACTCGTTTTGTACCGCTGTAATGGTTAATGTCGGCAAGACTTATGATTTTTATCTTGAACCATTAAAAGCTGAGTTTATCTGTGGCAGAATTCCGTCCGCAAATTGCACCTTTTAGAAATTAGTCTATTAGCAAATATGGTACAAAACTGACCGTCAGTGTTTTTAAAGTCTCATTCTAAGATGACTGAAGAAATTTACCCGTTAGTTTCGGTGCCACTGCCACATAATGCCTAAATTCAAGAATGCTAATACAGACAATTTTTTCTACAAATTTAGCTCTAGAAAAGATCCAAGTTAGAAGAATTGTTATCTAATTTTTTCACCATATTTTCTAGCGTAATTTCTACGAGTACTTAATGAAATATATTTTTGTAGGTATGAGACTCAGTACTGATGAATTCCTTGAAAACATTTTAAAAAAGTTATGAAGAGAAAATTCTGAAGTAATAAAGGGGATTGTAGTGTTGTCCATAGCTGAAACTTCTATGGTTATCAAAAACTGAAATAAATTTGTGTAATGCAACAGAATTTTTTTGCTGTCGCCGCTTTTGCTGCTGCTGTTGCTGTTGCTGCTGTTGCTGCTGCTGC